CAGATTGTGGATGGTTGTTCATTTGTCCACCGTGGTCACCAATCCGGTTATACAAGAGTGACTTTTCTGAAAAGTGCTGTTAGATTAAAAATAAATTTATGGATAGTAGGTAGTCACGTCCTATATCAGAGACTCCATAGTTCTTGAAGGTAATGAGAGAACTGCTACAAGCCGTTTGCTTGAAAGTTTGCTGTGGCGACCTCCTTTGAAAATTGGAGTAATGTGAGTCGGCTTCCAACTTTATGATGCCGTGCCTCGGCTTAGCGAATATGGGAACACCACACCAGACGGTTTCGTCAAAACTGAAGTCGCTTTCCTCAGTATAGCAGACTAAATCATATATAAACCAGCAGAATAGTCCTTTTTTATGTGCTGCAGTTTCCGATACACCAAGTCAACTCTCAGATTCACTTCTGAGAGTTCATTTGAATTGCTGGTGAAGCTGTCGTCAATGTGTTTAAATTTAAGGGAGGTAGCGTTTGGAAATACTGGTGTTCCAGAACCGTGTGGACACCGTCGTTGTTGTTAGTTGCGCCATTAAGAACTAACAATAGGGAAACTCAGGGTCTAGCTAGTCGAATAGAGGCTCCATGACGGATACCGATTTATCGAGTAGATCTATCTGATACTAAAACCCGTCTTCTCTTATTACCTTTGTGTGGTGGTTTCTTGGTTGTTTGAGGTCATATTATGTCCTGTCATCCCTAGTTTATTTGCATTCCGCCCATTGGTGCCTTTGTGGCGTAACAAGCACAGAGTTCAATTCTTGGTGACTGCAGGCTGCTTGTAGATTTTGGAGACCATTTGTGTAACAAACTTTTTTTTAGCACCTAAGATCGTGTGCAGTAAAATGTCCTAATAAGCACCCACGACAAGCGAAGGGTGAACTTGTAAAAACTTCGATTGATTAGTTAAGAGTCGACCTCAAACAACTAAGTATATGTAGAAACAAGAGCTCATGTATTCATTTACTTCCTTTACTACATGGCCATGGTGCTTTCACTATAGTGAATCGTTCAATAGATCCTGGCAAACATTTACGACCGGTCAAAAAACAGTATTTTCGAAACGGTCAAAAGAAATAAAAACGGATGTTGCAAAAAACTAGCCTTGACGTGAAATACTGAAAAACCGTGTATTAGGTTCAGGCAAAATCACAGTCAACTATTGACCAGGAAAACGATCAAAAAGAAAAGTAATCTACACAACGTAAGGCCCCGGAATAGATTCTTTGTATCAACAGCACAGAAAAAGTTTTAGAAATGAAAATCACGTTAGAATTAAACTTCCTGTTCGTAAAACGCACCCACGAACTCAATTTTCTGCCTCTATTCTTCATATGTCCTCTCTAACATAAGAGTTAATTTATAGCACTTCCTTAACAAAGACTGGAATTTCCACATAAGGGTCGTTTACCACAAAGTTATTAAAGAAAAGTATTCATTTGGCGTTATAAAGATCAAATTTGGCTCTTTACCTTACCACGGACTTGAGACTATGTTCGAAATGTATATTTAGTTTTAATACTTCGACATTACACGTAGCGCCGTATACAGTTTTGTTTTTCAAAGATGTCCGACGACCCACAACTGGATCTCCTAAACCATAAGTTGCAACTTCAGCAGGTTTGTTTCAAGTGCCTTATGTTTCTCTATGTTTAGGTAGAGGCAGCTCTTGAGCTGGATCCTGAAAATGAAGAACTTCTCCAGCTCAAACGAGATCTCGAGGAAGTCATCAAACTGTCACTTGAATTATTGGGTAGAACATCTGATACACCAGAAGTGTCGTGGAATGTGGGTGACCAGTGCATGGCTATGTGCTCCCGTGACAAACTGTAAGTTGTTTTTAATTCCTGTGTTACTTAATAGTTACTACCGAGCTACAATACTTGAATTCCTTGGGGATGTCAGCTGCGTCGTGAATTTCGATATGTATGATACAACGGACGTATGCCAGGTCTGTTATTGCTATATTTTTACATCTTTGTACTTGTCCACTTAGTAGGCTTACTAAGATTGCTTATAAGTTTCTCTTAGGTTGTAGGGAACTGACATGTTGCCCAACAACTATAGCAGCCTTAGGGTTATCAGTCCTTTATGGGACTTTAGTTTTTCATATTCCTTATGAAAAATGTTAATAAAACTTGTCTACATGATTAGGTCTCTTCGTTTTAGCTAGAAAATACCTAATTAAAGATTGGTTTGTCCTAACTCTCTTACCATTTGCGGCTGCCGTTAAATTTTTGTATACATTCAAGCACGAGACGTATGGTACTTTGAAGCCGTTCGCTTGATAATTGGGATGACAACAATCAACAGTCCGTGGACAAATTAATCGTGAGTGAATATTTTGGTTTAAACAAGCCTGAGATGTCTGTTAATATACAAATCTTGACCTCTATACATCACGTTCATCGCAAGCATGTTTCTTTTGCAGCTGTGTCATTTAAAGCCGGTTACGACGGTTACTCCTATTGTGAAAAAGAAAAAGTAAGTTCATACTTTTCTACATTAAATCTGCAGACATGACATAAAAAATCGTGCCATCGAAAAGAAGAAAATTAAAAAACAACGTCTTCTTCAAAGGGAAGTTGAGATTGAGTCGTTTTGCGAAAAGGAGAAGAATCGTTGGCTTAATTTCAGCAAGAAAATGATCAAGACAGGAAAGACAAAGAAAAGTATTTTCGCCTCTCCTGAAGCTATGGACGGTCGCGTAGGTGTTGGGACGTGTGGCATAGGTGGCAAGCCAATGACCAAGTTTACCATGCTTAATAACAGCAGCAAAAAGCAATAAATATTCCTCCTGCTTTGTACATATTGTAAATATACTTCAAAAATTTTTTCCTCTAATCAATATAATGGTCTTGTAAAGTTAGGCAATCTCGCATACAATCTTTGTTCTAGCTTCGTCTTATTGACTAGTTTGAAGTTGTTACTTTGAATCAGCAGGTAGCATATGTTAGTTATGAATAAACAGAAGTAATGCTTGACATATTGATTCTGCATTGTGTACTACATGGCTATGTTCTGTAATAGAATTGAATTACGCTGGAGTTTTAGGTATGTAGTGATGTTCGGAATATAAATACTTCTGTTTGGTATACATAAATTCCCACAACTCAAATAAACTTCTGAATTTGTTGTTCTGCATGATTTGGTTAGTGAAAGTCCGAATATATAACTGAAATATGCTATTGCACTCATGATATCGGATCCCGAGCCATCACGTGAATTATGGACTAAGTGTAGTACTTATAATAAGATAATGTTCGGAGACCACTCAACATAAACAATTGTTAAATAGCCTAAGCGTGATATCCACCAATTGATGCGACTTGTACTGAATGTCGCGAAGAAAGCGGCTGTAATGTATCATGACTTTGAACTTCTACCACTTCACAGTCCAGAGCTCGTGTAACCAAGTAGTAAACACCACGTGAGCAGTAGATAGTCGTTTGAATCCTAAAAGTATCAGTGGTACAATAAAATATGTTTGTACTCGACTATGTGCGTTGCTGGAGGTGCTCAGGATAGTATATGTACTTCCTGGTTTATTCATGTTCTTTTGAATCATAAACCACAGGTTGAAAGCTCTATGTTAAGGTCACTGCTAGACAAAATAAGTCCTGTTGAATACAATGGCGAAATGACAGCACACCTGGAGCAACACACTATTTAATTTGAACAACTTATAGTACTTGTTGTTTAACTCTGAGTGCTGCAATGGGAAACGCGAAGCATTTGCGCAGTCATTCGATACGAATGATGTTAGCTTGTGAGAGATCTTATCAAGAGGTTCTTTGGGTTTGAAATTCAGCGTCGAATAGAGTGACCACCGCCCGCGTTCTTTAGAAACAACTGAGTTTGGATCAGTTGGATAGTAATTCAAAGCTTTCGGAATCACATGTAGGAACAATCCCGGTTAGTTCCCTGAGCATTTGGATGACAAACGGGATTGCAGTGCAATTAACTAAGTAAGCAGGTGGCGGCCCCATCCTATAAGGAGCTGGTAGATATGTCATTAGGATCTTTGCAAAGGTTTCTGAGGGTACTGGAAAGTTTTAGCACACATCTCTATCGATATATGTTTAAATAACAAAGCGTCCGCATCGGAAGATGGCGTTTTTATACGTTATGACTACTTTGTTGACTCACTATGGCTTAATTGGGTAGTTGGCAGCAAAGAATTTCCTAAGTTCAGTTTAATCTATCCCAAGAATTTACATAAGAACTCATCTTTTTACTAATCGGAATATTTCAAATGTTCTGTTGGACCGCTCTCTGAACACGACATTCAATTGAAGTAAACTAAATTGTCATTCCTATAGGGCCTAAAGCTACTACCAAGACGTTTAAGTAGTTTGAAATGATCGCTAATAAACATTGGGACGACTGTGTCCTAGACGTCAGGATGTAGAGGACAATACAATTTTGTTTGACGGGAGTGGTACGGCTAGTTCTCACATTAAAGATACTTCGAGGAGAACTAGAGCATGTACTTTGTTAACACCAGTGAGAACGATAGAAAATTATAGTGTTTCAAAATGTGGTAGTATGAAGTCTTGTTTGCATCATAAAGTAGATTCATATCTTGTCATTCCAAATACACGACCGTATAATGACTTCAAATTCTACAGACTAAGTAACTAGTTTATAAAAGTGGTAGCTTGTCGAATAGTATTTCTAAGGAACTTTGCGAAAACTACCCGTCCGTAGTATGGTTAGTCAGGAAATACTATAACACGGATCCCCGACATGAATTTCGCCTTCAAGATATACCTCTTTAATGCACTGTCATTTATGCCACCTCAGCAGCTAGCCTAACATTTTCATTAAATTCATAGTAAGCATGGCAAATTAAGATGTCGCGTTACATTTTCACATTCCACATTGTTCGAGTTAATCAAATTCACAATTTCAGATACCGCAGAACGACATTCAAATTAAATGGTACTAGGAATCATATCATTTCGCAACCAAATAACAAAAAACACGGAGTATAGGAGTTAGAAATATACATTGAAGAATATGATTACAAATGAATGTCGTTTCAACTTTCAGAAGGGATATATGCGATTGCGTACAGGTTCACGCTGTTTTTTTCCACACTAAAAAAAAACAAATCAAACAATTTATCAACTACTAAGGCGTTACTAAAATTAATAACTCAACAGTTATCTCCTTGGTTCTCCGTTTTGGCGAGGTGAGGTCAAGTGAATGACAAGCTAGGGTCCTGTATGCGTGTTTCGGAGACAGCATAAGTCAATGGTACGGGACTCTAGGATTTTAGCCAAGATGTTCAGCTGGCCAATTAGACATAGGGTATGTGTGCCGAAGACTCCAATATGTAGTTTGGAGCGAGGTTTCATTAGACCTGGGACAGTATTTCGTGCACTGGAATTGTTGGCCATGATGACACTTGAGGAAGTTGAAATTCGAAATAGAAGGAATTGAAGAGGAAAACTGATTATGAATACAGCGATCTTGAGTGCTATTGGAGGTATGAGGGCAGTCATCACTTCCCGGTTGCTCACACCGTGGAAGGGTCCTTCTCGTACCTGAAAAAAACTTCAGTCAGTCAGTCACAACGTAGAACTTCGTACGTACGTACATCAGTTCGAGTTGCCATACCACATTAGCACAGAGATGCAGTTGTCGATTCAAATCCCATAGTGATAGAAGTGGTAGGAGTATAATCAGAAATCCAAAAGATTAGGGTTTGAAGAAACTATTGAAGGAGTATAGTACAGTGAAATAAATTTGGAAAGAGAAAAATATAAAGACATGAGGAATTCAGAAGATTAGAATTTGGTAGAACACAAAGAGTGGATGCATCTTCGCCATTGCAAACGATTTTCAGCCATGTCATTCAAGGTCTCTAACCATCGGTTGCTGTCATCTCGCGAATCCCAACCAGGTAGTCTACACCTACCAACATGGCCCAGTCCACTTGTCAGTGACTTCATTGATTTGTGCCACGTTTTGGTCTGGCCGCCCCTAGCTTACTTCCAACCTACTCCTACACCATGAAACATTGCACGTCGGGGCAGTCGGGCATACGTAACACATGTCCCAGCCATCTCAACTGATGAAGTTTCACTACTTCATCAATCGATTTGCCATCCCTACCTAGTACTCGTTTCCTAACAACTGCATTACTTACCCGGTGGTCCCAGGATATACGAGCAATGCTTCGAAGACACCTATGATCGAACACTAGTAGCCTACGAATATCCTCTACTCTTATTGGCCATGTTTCACTGCCATAAAGTAGGACGGAGCGAATTGCTGCACAGTAAACCCGTCCTTTGGTTGCTAGACGGATATCTCGCCTACGCCATAAATGACGCAAGTTGGCAAAAGCTAGACGAGCCTTCTGTATCCGTGCTGAGATTTCGTCACATACCAGACCACAAGGGCTGATGAGACTCCCAAGATAAGTGAAGTGGTCTACACGCTCAACTACTTCACTCCCTATCATTAGTTCAGGTGTCGATGCAACCCAATCCTGAAGTAACATTTTGCACTTCGAGGGAGAGAATCGCATTCCGAACATGCCTGCATAGTTGCTTATAGTGGTCAGAAGACTCTGCATGTTGTCAGCGTCTTCACCGAGTAAAACTATGTCGTCGGCGTATTCTAAATCAACAAGAGAGCCTCCTGGTAAAAGTTCAACTCCTGGAGGTTTAGCTGATGAAAGTGCTATCTCTAAAAGTATGTCAATGACAAAGTTAAACAAGAAAAAAACTTCGGGTAGAGTTGATCTTAGTGACCTGAGAGCGTGACCACAGTGCCCAAGGAACAACTGCTTGAAGTTGGTCACACACAACTTCGCCCTCGGACCTTGGGTTTGCTGCTTTTAGTCTTACCGCTCTTCAACAGACTTGTCTGACATGATAAGACCTTCAGGAACGATTGTTCCAGCCAGTGTAGCTCGATTGGCTCATCACAATAGGCAAGCTCGACCACCACGTCAAGGTAAAAGCAACGGTCTGGACTTTGTCATCACAGATTAACTTTGTTATTCATATTTTTATCTATCGTTTATTCCTTTGTGAAGTAGTTTTGTTATTACGCATACAGCAGCTAGCGGCTTTCCTGATGTGTGGGGTTTGTTACTTACGCCTGTTTCCCCTCGTTGAGGAGCATAGGCCGCTCACCAGCATTCTCCATCCAACTCTGTCCTGAGCCTTCCTTCTCAGTTCTTTCCAGTTGTTATTCATCCTTTTCATATCTGCTTCTATTTCCCGGGGTTAAGTGTTCTTTGGCCTTCCTCTTTTCCGCTTCCCTTCCGGATTCCAAGTCAGAGATTACCTCGTAATGCACATTGGTGATTTCCTTAATGTATGTCCTATCCATTTCCAACGTCTTTTCCTAATTTCCTCTTCAGCTGGAAGCTGGTTTGTCCTCTCCCATAAGACGCCCCCAAATGCCCTGGTACGGCCGAGAGTGAGGAGAGTCCGCTCTCCCTCTCCAAATGCTTTCACACGGCCAGCGAATATATAGCCTCTGCCAGGGGAGTCCTACTCACTGCCTTCTCGTGGCGGGGGTGTTGTTCAAAAAAGTGAGAGGACGAAAAGCGAATGTCCGGCGCTTTAACCGGGTTGGTGGACAAGGCAAGTCCACCTAGGGGAGTTGGGAAACCCTGATTCCAAACCAATGATGCACATGGGCTCCAGTATCCTAAGGGAACAAATGGCGTACGAACCAATCATTGATCACCGGCTACCATGGGACTGCATCTCCTCACGATGCTCTACTGCCTTGTGGACTAGACCTTCAGGTCAAAAGCTCCGGGTGTGGCCCCCTAAGAAAACCATCTGCTTCGGTCTGGGCACCTGGGCAGTATCACAGCCCACACACAAATCAAATGAGATTTGTGAGGCGCATATGTATCTGGTGCTTCCTCCCATAAAACGCTGTAGCTGATAGTATCTGACCAATGGATACTGAGTATTTTGCGTAGACAGCTGTTTATAAATAATTGTACCTTCCTGGTGATGGTCGTAGTAGTTCTCCACGTTTCAGCTCAATACAGTAGGACTGTCTTGATGAAGTTTGTACACGATAAATAATATAGTAAGTAATGATTTCTCCGAAAATTCTAATTAGAGGTGGAAATAATTTAACTAAGAACCGATCTCTTTAGAATTTAACCGATATAAGTTGACAATGAGTCCCAAATAGCATGAAACCTAAACCTGAAGATTTCAATCGACCCGTCTTCGACTATCCCACAACGAATTGCACTACAGTGTTTACTAATACTAACAATAGTAGTGCAGCTCATTTATCAAGTGAAGATTCGTGAACTCGCCATTGGGCTGTACTTTAGATGAGGAGTTGAGCGATACTAATTTGTTGTTTAGACCAAAGCAAGTGAACAGGATCTGCGACCTGCCGGTTTGAAAATGATTAATTTAACTACTAAGATACAGCATTATCGTAATGTCCAGTCATTTAGATTAGTGAATATATCGCCAGCTCGATTAAAAGTACTCGGTCGACACGAAGGACCAAAACAGCATGATACTGATTAACTTCCACTAAATAACTAGAGTATATAAACATACATCTGACTTCATTGATATGAAATTTATTCAGGTTTTTCTATTTGAACGAAATTATAACGTGTCTCGAGGGCTTGTAAATAACCGGTATATGTTATTCTGACTAGAATGCCTCAAGGGCTACTGTCGATTTGAAGCCCGGATAAAGAAGTAGGGTTAGAAAACACGCCTCGTAAGAAAAAACCCTGATACAGAACAACCCACTGAAGAAAAGCAATTAAGCTCTGTTGTGAGAAGAGAACAATTTTCATATAGAAGACATGTGACGCCATTTATTGAGAAAATGTTGGCTTAAGAACCATTTCAATAATTGAGCATAAAGTTCATAAATTGAATGCAGTTATTCCAGATAAAAGTTTATAAAGTTGACTACATATTTTTATTAAAAACTTGATATTTAATGATCGCAAAAATCGAATGGCCAGACTTACGAGCACTCTTCTTTTATCAGATTTACTATATCCAAAATAGCTTGATTGGATGATTTCTCGGCTAAAGCCTTATGAATATTTTCCAAAATACATAAAAACAACTTTCTTTGTTCTTCAAAACTGCAAAAAGCAAGCAATTTAAAGAAAGAAGCGATGAATATGAGATACTATGCATGAGAACAAATAAAAAGAAAATGTGTACAACTACTGACTTGGAGTTAACAGTCTTTCGATTACCAGTAAAATAATTGCTTAATAGTTAAAATGCTCGGCTTAAGAACTGCAGGTTTAAACCCCGTCCAAGGTACCATAGTTTAAATATTCAAATAACAGTTGTATTAGCCCTTACACAAATAATGTACATGAAGTTATACTTAGTAAACGAGTTATATTAGACTCACATTTTACAGTCTGCTATGCTACAAAACTAGTAAGCAGATGAACTGACTATAATTGCTTTTGGATTAAACAGGTGTGGAAAGAACTAATAAAAATTATCCAAAGATTTTCAATTCTGTTTGTTAATTGACTGTTTTAAAACTTGATTCAAGTAATTCTGAAATGATAATGACGAACATAATTCACAATACAATTGTCTTGTACGAGAAACGTATACAATGTTGTGCAGTTAGACAGAAGTAGGTTCATAGATTCGATTTTACTCCACAATCTTTATTTTGGATCTGTCGATACTAACAGAATCCTGATACTAAAGTAGAAGAATTAGAGGTTTGAAATAGTGCGACTCAGTGTTTACAATGACAGAATGTTCCGATCATTAGGCTTCTGCTACTGTCCACTAAACAGAACTGTTACAAATCGATTTAAGCAATGATAACTACAATTTGTAAAATATACGGTTACGTGTAGATTTCTTTTAAATCATAAATGGTAATATTTTTTGCAAACTGACACCAGTCAACAGAATATTTCATTCCATAAATACACAATATTGATTTAAATTTGGCCATATCTTATTTGTTTTAGAATGTATTACACACATTATACGATATCCATATAAACAATAATAAAAACGACAAAAGTAGTTCACGAGTGGATATTCATTTGTTCAAATTATAAAATGGTGCGTACCATTTAATTTAAAAGGGTAAATGTAAAATATGAATTTTATAAAAGAAATGATAAATTATAAGAACTAATTACACATACATTCTAGAATGCTTAGATTATCGACAATTTTAAAGAATTACTTTTCTAATAGAGAATATACATTACTTTGTCGGATATAATAAAAAACACAAAACTTCACTCATTAATAATAATAATGATAATAATAATATAGTAATAATGCTAGGAGACACAAATCAATAAAGCAAGTCTTCATTTCTCTAAAAAAAAAAGAATATCTTACAGTACAAAACAAAAATATATAACAGAATCTTACAAGAATATACAAGGGTCAATGAGTTGCATAAACACTAGACTGAAAACCTATCTGATATGTTCAGTTAAAGTGACATGTGATTGGTGAAGGATTGAAAATATATCTAACTGCGTTATACATAAAAAAAAAACTAATTTATACTGTAAAATCATTTTTCTCGTTCTACTGATTTCACTTGTTTAACTTGTATTATCGATGTTTGATTATCAATCGGACGGTTTAATTTATGTGACTGTATTCTGAAGTCAAAAGACACTCACTTGTAACACTGTTTAAGGAGTTGTGTGACAAGTCAAGCGAAGACCATAAAGCACCGTTTCATAAACTGACTAACTTTACGTTTTTTTATCACAATTTGTGGTTAAAAGATACTTTGTATGACAACAGTCGAAATATCATGCGTATAACGTTTTTAATCTAAAGAAACCAACATCTCACGATGGCATCGCTGAGAGTATAATGGTTCACGGTGTTCCTAAATATATATAACTAAGACAGTATTAATTTTACGATGTCACGGAATGGAAAGTCAAACAAACAATATAGATTGCACATATAGACCCATCAAACATCTCCCGCTCAAAGATCCTCAGAATTCACACTGAGTTGTATACCTCACATTTTATGATGGGACTATCAGAGTCAAATATAGTCTAGATTAACATAATCAAATATAGTTCTCGCTCTCCGAATACCGATAGATGGGTTTGCGCAACTCGATGTTATCAAAAAGTAAAACAGTTGTGACCAGAAATCGATATACCCTACTCTGAGTGACATAACTACATTACCCCCACCTTGTGGTATGTGATATCAGCAGAAAAACTAAGATAAACGCTGGAGTCACTACATTCTGTCTAATCTCATTGCTAGTTTGCAAACACAGAAAGAGGTAAACATAGGTACCCTTGCTTTCTAAAGAGTTTCGAGAAGGAATTTCAATATGTTAATGAAATTTCTAGGTAGTTACTCCTATCTGACAGGCAACTTCAAAATATAGTTTTTTTCTCACGAAGTGAAGATGGTTGTAAAATCAAGAAGAATCTATAACATGTACCCAGAGAGTCAAAAAATGATAAGTCTATTGAACGTTTGAATGAGATCCAAGATGATTCTTGACTCATTTTCGTTTATCTCCTATAATTTCGTAATATGATGACAACCAATATAGTAGATATGAGTGCTGGCAGCGTTGTACCTGGATATTCATCCCATACAGTATAATTATTCATTTAAAAGAATGATGACGTTTTAGCAAAGAAACTTTTCAGTGTCTGAAGCTGTACAATCGTATTTATAGGTATTTTTACATCTAGTAGTCTACAGTACAATGATTCTCTTCGAGAATGCCTGTGGCAGGCACTTAATCTTCGAGTGGTGCGATATATTTCATCGTCATAACATTTTCATGAGTTTAAATTTCCTACCTGAATAGAATGTTATATCTGTCTGTGAGAAACGAGATAAACAAAATCTATGTTATTACGGATTTCAATTATTGATTAATTACATTATTGTACCGACAAAAGTACTTTGAAAGGATGGCCTTCAAGTGACCGTATCGAATGATTACCTACAACTTTAAAAAAAAAGTTTCAGAAATGTGAAGTAAAACGGACAAAAATGACGACCTAAAATCGAGAATACGCTGCAAATTCTAATGAAATTTGTACTGTGATGCTATTTAGAAAAATAAAGCCATGAAGGAACACACTAAGTATAATTAGACCAAACATGTCTTGATCCTAAGCTGAGCTCAATTTACCTAGGTTTTTGTGGTTCAGAGATTAAGTGTTCGATACTGAAGGTACCGGGCGAAATTTTTGGAGCGTTGTGTGCCAGCGTTTATTCTATCGAGTTATGTTTAGTTCCCATTCATATTGGGAGAATTTCAATTGTTTGTAATAAAATGTTGCCGTAGGCTTAATGATAAAAAGTAATATTTCAACAACAAAATAATTATTTTTTTTCTAAACAAAATAAATAGAATCAGGTCATACAATTGATTTCGATGGCACAAGAATCCTTCAAAAAGCTTTTAATTCTTACAAGGAGAGACAAACAGCTGAAGCCCTATACATTTGGGCTAATCCAAACAATATTAATAGGAGGGATGGAATACAATTAGCAGTGCCATGGCAGCTAATCATTAATAAGTAACAACCTGAACTCCTTAATGTTTTTATCGAATTCGTATTATCTAAAATGACAACAATTACACTCAATGATTCTAATTTATTGTCTTATCGGAATTTGTTAAACAATTCATTGGAACATTAAAAATGACACATACATACAGTCAAAAATTACGATCTTCAAATTTCACCTTTATATTTTTATTTTGTTTAATTATCTTCATATACATACTAAGACAGATATGATTCATATCACATATATTACAAATTGTATGTTTCCTTATAAATTCACTGATACGAGACAATATATGAAGGTGAATGTAATTTTCTCCCCTCACCTCTTACGTTTTTCTATACAATTATGTTATATGAACACTCTTCACTACACATCACATATCTCTTAAACATACCTAGTTTAGACTTTTTGTTAACGTTGATTGGATGACCTATTCAGTGTATAATGAACTCGGAGAACCATGTACCTATTTATATTCGATAATTTTGATGTTTGATTATAATTCCTTGAAAAAGCTTGGACCAGATTGCCAGGCGAAACGTTGGATTTACTACAAATTCATTCGCTGAGATTTTACAAATATATTATTCCTATTTAATGTCTTACATCAACTCGGCGCTCAAATACTGTGAAACTATTCGCTCTAATTTAGACGAGAGTTCTTATATAAAATATATCTACTAAAAATAACACAAAAATTGTTTTAAAAATCCAATCGAGAAGATTCACCTGACTGAAGCTGTTGCATAACGTGAAAGCCAAAGTAAGATTGCATGAAATCTTATAAGTGCGTGTACAATTCTATTGTGCTTTGTAGCGTTTACAAGTAACCGTAAAACTGAGAACTGTAGACAATTATAAAAAGAAAACGTCAATATGGTTAAAATGTATGATAAGCTTAAGAAACTGATTGAAAACGTAACTTTCTGAAATGTACGTGATTAATTCTAACAATACCATCAGAAATTTGAAAATGATGAAACATATGTATGGAGTGAATATGATCAGTGGCATTATCACAGCTTTAGAATACGGAATCAATGGATAAGTCCCAGTACATTAAAAAAAAATCACTATTTACACATAACAGTAGCTTCTTTTTAACGGAATTGTTACGATGATACTGACTTGGTCAGCGAAAGCTACAATTTGGTATCAACAGGCACTCATATGCGCACTTTTGGTTTCCACACTAACTTTAGTTGTTGGAGAGTTTATATTTATTAACAGGATGAAAATAAGACCTGAATTCATAAATGAATAAAAATTCGATAATTCTCTGACATACATAATAAAACTACATTGAAAAGAATTAAATGAGATTGATTAGAACAATCTTCCCCATCTCATCGAGTTTTGTATCCTTTAATTCGCAAAGTCTGTAAGATGACGTGACACAAATAATTTTCATTCGAGAACAACCCATAAAGTAGTTAACATAACTAAATTTGTAGGTAGCATTCGTCATAAATTTATCTCATTCAGGGTATCCCGAAACGCCTTCAAATATCTAGATTTAATGTTTAAATCAACAGATATATGACAAGATGGGGAAGTGATTCTCCTACTTAAGAAGAACCCTACACAAAAATCACCACCAATAATTAATAACATACCTTGAAACTCATATCAGCTGAAGGTAATGAATAAGCACACAAAATGTGTTTGAATACTAAAGAATTTTCCATCACTAAATAGTCTGCCGGATCACCCAAACTATCAACACACAATCGACAAATCCATTGACGTTCAATAGTGAACTATTAGTTTCGAAAAAAATAGGGGAAAATGAAAACAACATTTGAAATGACCAACTACGTTTTTACACAAGAAAAATACTTACGAAATACTAAATTTAAAAAAGGATTCCGTTGAAATTTGTTCAGATAATAGAAGAAGGAAAAAATAAGAAATTTTTGTGCAAAGTTAATTTGAACATTTTAAACTTTTAAGCAGAAAAGTTAGCAATTTACATTGTTGTGAACGAGAACGCAGATGGGGACAAAAAATTTATTAATTAATACAAAATTACGGAGTTTTTTTATCAAATGTGAAAACCATATGTTCAATACTTCATTTGAAATGCTCCATCAATTTCCTCAAACTTAATCGTCCTTTCATTCCCATAACAATTACTCTTCGTTTCCGTTCTTTTCGATTCAATCTTCTCAACATTCTGCTGCCGGGTATTCCACTCTAATTGGTGTTATACACTACTTATATCGACACAAGTAACATAAAGCACAATAGTGTGAAAAACTTCCAAGCATCAATCATCATCCATCAACAGTATTACGAGCAATAATAAAGGATTGCATTAATTAGTGCATAAGAAACTTTTAGGAAAAACTCATTAAATTGGTCGCTTTTCTTAGATTTACGTAAGGATAATGTTTATCATATTTATTTTAATTTGGGTATCCTTCTTACGTAACTCTGAACTAAATTATTAGACTTTTCAAATATATTTCAAAGTAAAGCGTTAAATTCAGAATATATAAATTCATGAAACATCAATATTGTTTGCTAACAGGCGATATGATTAGAAACTTGAAGCATATTACACACTTGACATCTTTCTTACTGATTGTTTTGACCTAATTAACATTTAATAAAATGGTTTAAATCATGGATTGATCTAAGTAAGACCAACGCTGAAAACATGGAAGCATTGGATGAGCTTTTTGAACTAGTACAGAACATACCAGCAGTGCAGATCCACGAATCAATTGTAGGATCTTTTGTCCCGCCTGTGATTTCATGACTTGTAGACCTTTAGGCCCGGGACTTAATGATGTGCAAGTCTGACACTCATTCAATGCATTCAGTGGATAAATGTCAGATACTTAACATGGCTTGACTACACTGGTCACGACTTATCACTAGTAATCCAGGAGTTGCGCCGTAAAATTGGTAATTAGTGAGCATACGTCTATCAGTCGAATCAGTGCTCCCAATTTCTCAATGGTGATTTACATAGGATCAGCTCGTGATTTAAACTATGGATATTCTACAACCTCCACAAATTCCCCCGTACTTAGTTGAATATTGAATTCCGATTTTTTCAAAGCCATGAAAATATTGTTTAAATAGTATGTTGTAAATTGTTGCCCGCCAATTAGAATACAGTGATTTATCGATAGGACCAATGACACACAAACCCGTACGAGCAGTCTAGAATACTTGTCGGTCCTGTTTTCTGCCTATCCCAGCCAGTGAAGTCCAAAACATCAATAATAGCCTCCGCAATATGAATCGTTCATTTCAAACATAATGGGTTTAAATACCAAACAGACTGACAACATCGTACCATAAAATAGAAAGTAACATTTTTACAAGACAGTCTAAAGTGGTTGCGAACGTGGATTGAAATAAAAATGTAGACATTTCAAGACTGAGTTTGTGCGAAACATAAAATGGAGGATAAAGTGAAAAATCGTGAACATTTTTTTCTACAATGTTATTTATACAAACCAGTAGGTAGTAGAATAAAATTAACTATCAATTATAATAAAAACTATCAAAGATTAATGTGTTGTATAGTTAAATTCAAAAAAAAATTATTTAATGTAATCATGTTTCATCATTACTGTCAACAACTAAACAAACCTGATAAGAAATAATCAAAGTTAAACGGTTTAATCATCAATACTCAATAGACCCAGTGAATATTAGTTTGTGATATGTTAACGATACTGTATGTATATACAATTCAAAATTAATATCGTTCAGACCAACTTGTCTACCAAACACTGAACTGATTTCCTTTAAAGTGTATTCACAACTAACAATCAGATTACAGCAACAACGCTTTTTTTTAAAAAAAACAGACCATTTAGTATATGACCAATTAAATAAAACCCGACTAAATAATTTAACAGTAAGAAATTGAAGTAAGAGAGTATGAATCTTGAATACTTCACTTTTCTTTTCATTTTCTTATTGAATGTTTATTACTTTTTGGTACTATGATTCTTATTCTTTTGATTTCTTCACCTATCGGTCAAAAATCATTGGAATAACAAGGCTGTATTGTTTTTAAATACTTGCATAAGTAGTTAACAATCGAAATAAATATATTAATGAGAAAACAATCACTACAGAAAAGTTATGTACATGAATTAAAAGCAATGAATAATTGCCTCTATTTCACAACTTCACAAGCCAATAACACAATCAATGACTTCTGTTACTATTATCAGTCCCCTGTTCCCTTTCCCAAATGAAGGCATATAATCTAGGGCGGTATATTACTTACCTTATTATTTGTTGAAAAGAATAATCTTAAAAATTCCGGTACATATCTTAAATCTATTGCAGGTTTTGCCAGTAAACAATTCCAAATAGGCTGAAACATATGATTTTCTATACGAAGGGAAAAGTATACAGAAATAATAGTATGACAATAAAATGAATATGATCCATAAGAAATTTTTGCTTTGAGAATAATACCTTTAATATAAACCAGGAAGGTGATTGATCAATGAATTAAAAGAAAAAAGCTCTGAGTCCACTATTTTACTCGAATAATGATAGCCAGCTGCTGAGCTGACATTGCATATGTCAAATTAAAAAATTTCTAAAGTTCTTATACACAATAAATGGAGCTCAGTACAAACAATCATATCCTGGTAACTTTTAAATGACTTTCCTTATTATATATGAGAACTGTTTTCTTGAGAAATAAACACTATAATTCGTGTAGACTTATATTCATAGAAAAACGGCTTATTAAATAATTGATGTTTTGAAAGAAAAAAATTAAGCTAAATCAACAACTAATTACAAGATTTATTTATGTACACAAGCATTTATGTGTAATGCTTTAAACGGAACTGAAATGGGGACACGAACCAACAAATTAACTGATAGAAGTCAAGTGTGATCAAGCATTGACACCTTAATTCACATAAATTCTTATATTATGTCTTTGTAATTTGATCGAATTAAATCACATTTATACATAATCAGAAATAATTTGAGTCGTGGAATTATTTACAGACATTCTATATATAAAAAATGTGATATACAATACTTTTTTGCAAGTGACAATTTCTAATACCCCATGTAAATATGATTGCAAATTATGTGAACAAATTTTGTTATGGTAAGCAGAGATGGTGGTTAGCAGTGAAATCCAGGACGCGCGTTTCGTCTTACTTGGGACTCGTCAGCCGGATGTACCTGCATATGAGAGTTGATGTTCACTCTGGGACTCGAATTCAGTACCTTTTGCTTCAAACGCCATCGCGTTATCCACTCGGCCACTGAGTCCTGATAGCCACTTGCTTGTGCGATGGGGTGAAGTTTGAATTCACTTAGTATTGTTTGTTTGGATCTTCCCATCGATGTGTTTAGGACTGCAACTGGTCAGTCTCTAATTGGCATATGTGCATACTGTGCGTATTGCCTCGATATACATTAATTCACAAGCATGGTAAGCAGAGATGGCTATCAGGACTCAGTGGCCGAGTGGATAACGAGATGGCGTTTGAAGCGAGGGTACTGGGTTCGAGTCCCAGAGTGAACATCAACACTGAGATGCAGGTACATCCAGCTGACGAGTCCCAAATAGGACGAAACGCGTGTCCTGGATTCCACTGCTAGCCACTATCCATCTCTGCTTACCATGCTTGTGAATTAAGGTATATCGAGGCAATACGCACAGTATGCACATATGCCAATTAGAGACTGACCAGTTGCAGTCCTAAACACATCGATGGGAAGATCCAAACAAACAATACTAAGTGAATCCAAATTTTGTTATGTTACGATGGGGATACTATTAATTTTGTTGTGTACTTTTAGTGTTCTATGAAAGATAGAATTCTGTAATGGTTTATGCATGCCCCCAAATGCCCTGGTACGGTTGAGGGTGAGAAGAGTCAGCGCTCTCTCTCTCCAAATGCTCTCACATGGCCACGTGCATACAATCACTGCCACGGAAGTCCTACTCACTGCCTTCTCGAAGTGGGGGTGTTCTTTACGAAATTGACAGCACCAAAAGCGAATATCCGGTGATTTAACAGGGTTAGTGGATACGGAGGATTTACCTAGAGAAGTTGGAAAACCTTGATTTCAAATCAATGTTCCACATGGGCTTCAGGATCCTAAGGAAAGAAATAGCGTATGAATCAATTGTCGGTCACCGGCTACCATGGGACTGCATCTTCTTACGTCAATCTGCTGCCTTGTGGATAAGACCTTCAGGTCAAAGGCTCGGATAGTGGCTCCCTGAGAAAGGCACGTGCTTCGGTTCAGCAGTATCACAGCCCTCACACAAACCAGATGATTTATGTGACATATATCTACTTGGTCCCTCCTTGTACCAATGTTTCTGTGTTTAAACAAATAAATAATAAAAATACTGCAACCAGTTCAACATATCTAATTCATAAGAAAAATTTTTTAGTGTGAATTAAAACAAAGTTTTTTAACATTGTAAAAATTATCATGTTGATAATCAAGATTAATTCAAAGGGTATGCCTCATTTAAGTGTCGAATGAAGAGTAAAACAATGCAATCGCCAAATAAATTCCAACTTATCGATTTATCTACTTTAGGTAGTGGTAGTGTAGTGTCGGTTACTTTTATCCACATAAGTAGTAAATGGTTATGGTCAGGCATTAAATGTATTTTGGCAGAAGATCGGTAAGGAAAGAACAGGAACGAAGCGCAATCGGTATGAAAATGCATGAACAATGAAATCAGAGAAGATGGATTGATATTTACAGAAGGAACAGTTAAGATTGAGACAGTTGATTGATATTTTGTAAATTAACTGTTTACTGTATGGTTATCAGATTTTAGTGAGATAGTTTGTAATTTGTGCTTAAATACATTCGATTGTTCCCATCCGTGTTCTTGTTCACTACAGTAGTAGTGGTAGTATAAGTAGTCTTATAAAACTCAGTCACCAATATCATACACACGTAGTACAAGAAAACTTTCGGTTTATGGCACTCACTTGAAAATCACTAAATTGATCAAGAAAACTAACAAATACAGTGATTCATTAACGTTACGGCATCGACCAGTGACCGTCAGAATCTTAGTGTAAGAGAAAGCTTTCTGAGACTAGACACATACTGTTTGATATATGTCAGAAGTAGGAGATCGATCCTTTAATACTTAGCTGTCATAGAAATATTAAACAGCAAAAACAGAACATCTTGCAATATTATAACATACACAGATACACCCAGAAAAAGTTAACGTACCTGGTTGACTGAGTATTTTTAAAACTCTGATAAAGAAATTTGCATGAATTTTTGTTAAACGTCCACCTGAATCAATGGATATATGGAATGATTTAGCTTTACGACTTCCACCACCGAAAACAGACCCACCACCATGTGATAAACTATTGCGTAATGTATCAAGAACAAAGGCAATCTAGAAATGATAAGAATAATAAAAATTACCAAGATCAAAATTATCAAGATTTGCCACTGACTGAACGCTTCACTAGTAAACATTAACATAGTAAAATGTAATTTCGATCATACTTAAGGTCCCATTCACTTAAAAATTGAGACATTAGTACAAACAATTATGAGTTAGTCTGTTCTGAAAATTGAATAGTTACAATGGCTTGTATTTATCACCAATAAATAAATATATGTATTTCCGAAAAAGGTACGCTGAGTATAGTTGCCTGTACCTGAATAAAAAAAATGTTCTCAACGTGTTTTATAAAAACAATTAGTGAATAAATTACTTGCGGTACGTCAAGTTTCCTCAGATTCGTATAAAGTGGCCTCGGTACGTAGTAGGGATAGTCAGAATAACTTTACATGTTTGGTTCGAAAATTATACAGACTGTTGGACAGTTAAAATCGATAGAATATTTATAATAAAACTATTCAGAGAATCCATATTTGATATGAACTTAATACTACTTACTTACGCCTGTTACCTCCCATGAAAGAGCATAGGCCGCCCTAGAGCATTCTCCATCTAAGTTCGTCCTACGCAATTATTTCCAGCAGGAATAGTTCCTCAAGTACTAGACAAGTTGCTTTGAATTTATCCACAGATACAGAAAATGTGTTTCGGCTGAGCATTATGTATGCTTTTAAGAACAAAGGATAGGGAATCCCGCTATACTCTCAAGTTACATCACATCCCGGTGCGAACTTCATGAATTTCAGCCGAATGACGATAACAATCTACAATAATTTTAATCTCCTATGAAACGAAAGCTTAATCGTCAAAGTATTCAGGTTTTAACTAGTAAGTTAGAAGTTCGAATTTCCTCAACTTACGCCGGTTTAGGTAACCGAATTGTATATAGAATGGCTTAGAGCCGAATACATAAGCATATACTTGGTAAGTTTTATCTCGATTTAGCTGAATTATAGTCATTATGACTACTAATATCTACACTGATTATTGCGCTAGATATCCTCTGAAAAACCTTAAATTTTCCCTCATTCTTAATTGTAAGAGTGGTATTTCACAGAAGGACTGTTGTGAAAACCTAAATTTGAAATATTGCAATAAGGAATAGTATTATTCTTGCATAGGATACAAGATCTTGAGCGTTTCATAAGAGATATCTAAATTTTAATATCGGTCGACCGATTTAAGCTAAACGTCATTTGCACGATCAAAAAACGCAACTAATTGGTATGTAAAATTGAATACTGAAAAATTTAGGCATACTTGTTGGCCTTCAGGAAAATGCTTAAAAGATTGATTAATTCGTCTTTCTGAATGATCAAAATTATTAGAGGTTGTTGGATTGCCAGAGATATATAAACTCAACAATTTTCGATATATCCCGATAATTGTTTTAGCCATATTTCGCATATGTTTCGAGTAACTCGATAATCCAGCCACAGCATAACACAAACAATTTTTTACATAAAACATTTTCAGAAATTGAACAGGTTTGACAACATTCGAATTACTTTGTTCGCAATCTTCTGAAACTTAATTAATGTAAAATAATACCTAATTATTCTGATGAATTAAAAATATATTTATAACGAAAAGAAGAAAGATTTCCTCAGCTAAGAGGTGACCACAATAAATTATTTATCTGCACAGGATGTGATAAATCAACCGAGTTAAAAATAATGAGTTTGAATATAATTTAATGGTTAGTTAAATTGATAAGTTAGTTGAATATGTGGATGTGTCGCGTTTGAGACAGTAGGAAAGTTTGTTACATAATTGTCTTGACTTTTGACACTGTTGGACGGAGTAGCTTAATACTGACCTAAGAAGTGTGAGGAAGCGTAGTGTCATTGGCTGACATACTGAAAAAGAATGAATTTTAATCCAACTAAACAGTTATGTACACGTTTATATATTTAAATTTAGACTGTCTTTTTCTAGGTGGATTAGTAATACAACACCATTCAAACAAATTAAAAAACAGTGACAAATTACAATTAGAAGTCAAATGCTCCATCTACTGAATCCTTGGTGATTTGTTTATCATTTAGTAAGATATACTAAATTATCTCGATTTTTAATTGAAATGGAGTAAGAGTAATAAGAAGTTAATTGAATTTGTTTAGATCTATTAATTAATACCAAAATGAAAAAAGACATTTTGATCGCGTAATCCAGTATAATATTGTCAACCATAAAGCCTAAGCTCTCCTCTACTAATACTGAACATATTTACTATATTATCCAGAAAGTCAAAACCTTCCTTCCTAGACGATTAACATAAAATTATGGTTTGAACGCGCTTAACATTTGATTAGTGTACTTCCCTAAAATAAGGCGTCAGAGTGAAAAGCAGTCCAACATATAAAAAACAATATAGCCACACAATCTGCAAACTTGTCAGTCAGTCAGCGACAACGTAGGACCAAGCACATATATGCATCGGTCCAAGTTGCCATACCTCATTAGCACAACAAGATCAACACCGGATTCATAGTAGTTAATTTAGTGATGGTGGTGGTAGTATATAAATTATAGGTTGTATATAAGGATATAGTATAGGAAGGAAGAAAGTTATGAAGCAATTTTAATCTCAATGTTTAAGGGAAGATAAAGAGTGTATACACCTGCGCCATTGTGATCGATTCTGAGCCATGTCACCTAGAGTCTCCAACCATTTATTACGATAGTCACGTGGACCCCAACCAAGTAGTCTACAACTACCAACATGGCTCAGACTAGAAGTTAGTGACTTCAAACTCTGAAGCCACGTTTTGGTTCGGCCATCCTTAACTCTCTTTTAACCACCACCTATACTAATCAGCATTGCGCGTCGTGGTAATCGGTGTTCAGGCAAACGTAACACGTGGCCCAACCATCTCAGTTGACGAAGATTCACAACCTCATCAACTGTTTCATCATCATTCTCTAATACCCTGTGTCTAACCTTACTATTACTTACCCGGTGATCCCAGCAGATGAGAGCAATGTTTCTAAGACATCTGTGGTCAAATACTAGTAACTTACGAGTGTCTTCTACTCTTAATGACCATGTTTCACAGCAGTAAAGTAGAACAGAGCGAACTGCTGCGCAGTATACTCGTCTCTTAATTGACAGACGGATATCTCGTCTTCGCCATAGGTGACGTAAGTTGGCAAAAGCCAAACGAGCTTTTTGAATCCGTGCTGGGATTTCGTCAGACGCCAACCCATTAGGACTGATCAGACTTCCAAGATAAGTGAAGTTGTCGACGCGTTCGACTACTTCACTCCCTATCCTTAGTTCAGGTGTTGACGCAGGCCAATCCTGAAGTAACAATTTACATTTAGAGGGGGGGGAAACGCATCCCAAACATCCTGGCATTATTACTCAGTGCTAAAAGAAAACTCAGCATTCTGCCAGCGTCTTCACCAAACAGGACTATGTCATCTGCGTAAGTGGACCTCCTGGTAGGACATCAGTGCCCGAAAATTCAGTCGACGAGTGTTATTTCCAGCAATAGGTCTATAATGAAGTTAAACAAAATTGGAGATAGTGGACAGCCTTGACGGACACCACTTAAGGTTGTAAAATCAGATGACAGTTCGCCATAAGCTCTCACTCGACTAATAGTGTTCGAGTGAAGAGCCTTCACAAGGTTTACGTACTTCTCAGGTACACCTTTCAATGACAGACACTGCCACAGAACCTCTCGGTCTACAGAGTCAAATGCTGCTTTCAAATCAAGAAAAACTATCATTGTCGGACGCCGATAAGCATGTCTGTGCTCTAAAACTTGACGAATGGTGAATATGTGGTCGATACAGCCACGACCAGGTCTGAAGCCAGCCTGATTTTCTCGTGTTTGCAGTTCACGAGTCTTAGTTAAGCGCCCAATAATTATTGAGGCTAGTATTTTAGATGCTATGTTAGTCAGACTAATCCCTCTATGGCTATCACAGGATGATTTTGGCCCCTTCTTATATATTGGGACAATCAGAGATAGTGACCAGTCAGATAAGATTATGTCCGTCTCCCAGATTTTAGCCAGAATATTAGTCAACCTAATCGCTAAAATTGGACCACCATATTTAAAGACCTCTGGAGCCAATCCATCTGGACCAGCTGCTCTTCCTCGTTTCAGATTACTTATAGCCTTTTGAACTTCAAGTAGGGTCGGGGGGCCTACTTCAATGTTCCATTCAGGTTTTCTGGGAATAGTGGGTAGTTGTGCAGTCGCTGAAGTCCAGCTAAACTGCTCCTTAAAGTGTTCCGCCCATCGTTCTAAACGTTTGGGTTGAGAGCAGATAAGGGTTCCGTCTTTTTCGGAGATTGTCTCACTTACACTTGACTTCTTAATTCCGGTTTCTTTTATTAGTCTGAATAGTTGCCTGGTGTTGCCTACAGCCGCTGTCTTTTCCATCTCTTTTGCTTTCGTTGCCCACCACTGCTCACGATCGTTCCTTAGACTTTCAGTTAACCTAGATCTAATTTGTTTACGCTCTTCGTCATGTTCAGAGCCTGATGGGAAGAGTTTACGCGAATCCATCAGTGAAATAGACTTAGAAGAAATCCACTGGTTTTTTGGAGCCCTAAGGTTTAAATAACTAATAGATGTTACTGCTGTTTCCACAGCTGTTCGTATGTCTTTCCAAGCAGCATCTGGGTCAGTCTCGTTTACAGAACTGCCTAGATGTGCACTCAGTTGTTTCTGGAATTCGCATTTGGCTTTATCGTCCTCCAGTTCAATCCTAATGGGTCTTCTTAGTGTACTTTTCCTGCGTCCATTGAGGCGCAGAAAAATGCGCGCTCGTATTAAAGCGTGATCAGAGTCTAAACAAGTATTCCAATACGAGCGACAATCTTCTATTGAGCCTCTCCAACGATGACTGATGACAATATGGTCTATTTGAGTCCATCGTTGGTTTGATGCAGGTGGTCGCCATGTTAGACGATGTCTCTCCTTATGCTTAAAATTAGTGCTTGCTAAAAATAAACGATTGTCTGAGCACAGTTGCAACAGACGATCACCATTATCGGTTCGTTGAGCCGGAATACTAAAACACCCACCTAAATGTCTTTCTGTTTGATTCAAGCTGCCTACCTGGGCATTAAAGTCACCAGCTACGACTACTATGTCTGAGCGCTTAGCTTTCTGAAGAAGCTCAGAGAGCTTTCTGTAAAAGTCATCTTTCACTTCATAATGGCTGCAGTCAGTGGGAGCGTAGGCAGAAACGACGAAAAGGCAACGACGTGTGTCCCTATCCTTCCGAGTTCTTATGGAGCCATTTAGCCGGACAGCACACAGGCGATTGTTAACGGGGATCCATTCTAGTAGTGCCTGTTCTGCCCTTGTACTTAGTGCTATGCCTACACCTGCAAGTCCACGAGAACTAGTCATGGGGACGCCAGATACACGGAGGGTGTATTTCGTTGGCTGTCCATTTTGGCGAGGTGAGGTCAAGTGAATGACCACACTAGGATCCTGTATGCGTGTTTCGGAGACACAGCATACATCAATGGTACGAGATTCTAGGGTTTTAGCTAAGGAGGCCTGTTGACCGATTTGACTTAAAGTACGTACGTTGAAGGCTCCAATGTGTAGTTTGGAGCGAGGTTTAAGTAGACCTGGGACAGCGTTTCGCGCACTAGAATCGTTGGCCATAGTGACACTTGAAGAGGAAACCGAAAGAGGAAGTTAGTGTTGAAAGTCAAGGTAGAAGGAATAATAGGAATTGAAGAAGGAGATTGATAATGAAATACAGTGGTCTTGAGTGCTGTTAGAGGTATGAGGGCAGTTATCACTTCCCGGTTGCCCACACCGTGGAAGGGTTCTTCTAGGGGTACCTGAAAAGGAAATTGGGTTAGAAGTGATCTCAATGACCTGAGAGCGTGACCGCAGTGCCCAAGGGACAACTGCTTGAGGTCGGTCACACACGACCTTTTTGTGAGTAATTTTCGTGTTAGCTTTGTTTTCAAAGGACCTTACCGCCGGAGACGAATATCCGTGGGATAAGGCGAGGTGTGCATTTTTAGGGTCGACATTTTCTAACCCCACCCCTCCTTGTGGGAAGGCAGCATCGCTGTCATGCTGGTTGTCTGAAGGAAACACCATACTGCTGTCACACCTCTGTACAGTCAGCAGTACGACTTCACCTTCGGACCTTGGGTTTGCTGCTTTTAGGCTTACCGCTCTTCAACCAACCTGCCTGGCATGGTAGGACCTTGAGGAACGATTGTTTCAGCCAGTATATCTCGATTGAATCATCACGATAGGCAAGTCCGACCACCACGTCAAGGTAGCAGCAACGGTCGGGCTGCAAACTTGAGGAAGTATTGGTTTTAACAATTACTGTAACTCATTTATAAAGTACGTATTTTATGTACTCTGTGAAGATTAGTGATACAACTATCCAGTAACCTAAACTGTGGAATGTACGTGAGGTTTGGAAGCTAGATATCACAATTCCGTAAATCATTGCTAATTTTACTCAACACAAAACGGACTCATTAAAATCTAAATGTTCAGTAGAATTATCAATAAAACTTCATTAGTAATAGTAACATAACATGAATTTGTAATAAATTCCACTAACCAAAAAACCTTTTTCTCAACAAAAAAAACGATATTAAGTATTAAAGTAACTAGAGTGCTCTCATTAGAAACGATTGTCATGTAAAGTTATTGTTAAAACAGTATGTTTTCATATATTTAAAACTTACAACATTGAAGATAGTAATATAACACATGTAGAATGAAGCATGGATCATATGTACAATTAATTTCGACAATCTTTGAATCATTGACATACGAATTTGAAATAGTCTGGATTGTAAAATTAAAGTAGAATGATTATCTTTCTTCAAAAGACAAAATAACTATAGCATTAAATTTATAATTTTTTTATAATAACAAACAAATTTTTATAATAAACAAAATTTATTTACAGTAATAAAGAACTATTTGATGTAAGTAGTATTGAATTACTGATACAAATAATTAGTAATAAGTACTTATATAATTAATTTTAGCCAACATCTTACCATTCCAACAGTCGAAAAATCACAAATTATTCTTTTCATTTAATTTTTTATGTATTACTTATTCTCCGCTTCTTTATTCGAAATTATTTATTTGAAAAATTTTCATTTCCATTGACTTAGTTGGTCAAATGGTACTACACAATAAGGGGGGTTTAGAATAGAGTGAACCCAGAAAATGTCATGAAACCTGATTGACTAGTCGAAGATAAATGTCTTACTTCGAAAAAATTATCGATGATTATGAAAGATGGGGGAATAAACGCTAAATCATAAATGAAATGGACAGATATAAATAGAAAGTGAAAAGCAATAAGGTAAATATTTAAGAACGGGCAGCACAGTGGAAACAGTGTGCGAAGATTTATTCATATTTAGTCTAAATTATTCCCAAGTCTTGTTTGTTTCACTTTAGACACAGGCGTATGCGAAAGCTAAACACTAACAGCACATATCCCAACCAGACTAATAGAGGTAGAAACGTTATTTACAATAAAAAACAAGATAATAGAAAAACTGCACCAAATAGTTAGTTATTACATAATAAACACTACTTTATACATTTACTAATGAAGAAAGAAAATAAACTCTAACAAACGATAATAATTAAGAACACATATAGTATGAGAAAGCTTTTACGATGAGCTCTTTTTTCTTTGAAAAGGGCATTGTGATAAGTACATTAAAACTAATTAAAACATTGATGTACGTAAATTAAATTCACCACAAATTGGTTTGACAATAGTAAACAATTCTTACATTAGTTGTTTTTAATATATATATATATATATATATATATATATATATATATATATATATATATATATGTTATGCTTGACACTAAATCGATTCCGCGGTAACGAACGAAAGCCAATGACACAATGACACGATAAGCTATTCTAATCGGTTGTCCCAGGCCCCGCTACTAGATGAAGAAGTCCAAGGCAAGTAGGGGAATATATATATTCCGTAAGCAGCCGAGTACAAGCAATCAAATAAGGGGAAAAGTCAAGCGCATTTATACAGTAACAAATTGTCCTTGAGCATCAAAATAAAACTACAAGATTAAGCCATTTACCAAGTAAGTTCTAGGGATTTGACATCCCCAACAATATATATATATATATATATATATATATATATATATATATATATATAATTACAGAAATAGAATAAATTCGTTATTAAACTCACAAACCATTTCCGATATAAAGGGAAATTATACGCTGAATCTAACAATTGATTATCGTCTAATACATTAAACAATGTATTTACATTCGGTTGATGTAATAAAGTTGGATGATTTAAGATGTTATTTTGTGAATCAAATTGATAATGTTTACATAGAGTTGAACCCCAAACAATATACCTTGATGTAACAAAGAGAAAGACGTTCAAAGTTTGAACTATATTCTAGATTAATAAAATAAACGAAATTATTCTTTGCACATAATAAATCTACTTAAATTCATAAAAAGACTACTACTAACTACCAAATGTTAAAACATAGCCCATGTGATGTTTAGTCATTTAAACTAGCGATCATACAGCAAACTGATCGATACGATTTGTTCAGAAGTAAAATCAGCTACATCCGAAGTAAAAGACTAAACAAGCAAGACATTGGTCACTAACTAAAAATACACTGAAAATCAAATTGAAAAATTCCCCCTGCATTAATTAGTGCTAAAAGTCAGTGAATGACAGTTACCTTAATTTGATATATAAACTTGAAGATTCATTTTTTCTGTTATGCTGTATTTAGGGAAACAATATCCCTATCGGTTAAGTGTGAATTCAGTGTATTAATGGCAATTAATTGGTCAAATTGTATGAAAACTTTCCTCACGTTTGTGATGTTACTATAAACATACTTTTAACGATAAAGTTGATTAGTAAATTACAGTTAACACTAAAAACAAACCAAATAGCTCATTGATTTGTACTAATTGGGTATTTCGCGCTTATGGTTTATTCTGGTGTGTACTTACATTCGTTTAAATCAGTCATCTATTAAATCTGTTACTCTTGAAGCATTGAATAATATGTCACCATGTCTCAATTGTGTCTTAATTGCATAGATATACTTATTTTTTTATTTTTTACTCTTACAAACTTTGTAAACGAATAATTGAATTATTAAAGGTGATTTTTTTTTAAATACACACCACAATTTACCTGAACTGAGTTAATGATCCTGGTGAAAATTTTTCCATAAGATAAATCAATTTGAGAATAGTTTGATCTTTCAACATAAAAATGTGGAAAAAAATAACGATGGTTTTGCACAGAGAAATACATAAGAAATGCTTTTGAAAATATTGAAATAAATTTGTGACGAACAATTTTCTACTTTATTTCATCATGAAATATATGAAATGAGTATAAAATTAAGCAACTGCATAAAAATTCAAAGATTAAAACCATTGAACTTAAATATATGAAATGAAATAATGAATTCTGAGTTAACAGTTGGAAAATGATCGGTTAGATCATAAATACTAGGCTAAACTAACGATGAACAAGGGTAAAACGAAGTGTTACAAACGTAAGTAATAAAGAGACATAAGAGAGTAAAGCAGACAATATATTGTAATCAGTGAATGAATTCTGAGATTCTTTTCGAACGTCATCTATTCATAGGTTATATTGCATGAACATGAAACGTTTGAAACGTAAACGGTGCTTCAAAGTCAGTTGAATAAAAGAATCTACTCCCTATTATTATATGAGTCAGAATTAAACTGAAAGTTATCTACTCTTTATGCTGTGTTCTATTCTAGCTACCGAGAGCTTGGGAGAATTGGATTCTGAGCCAATATTCATTAAGTACTGACCCTGACTTTTATCCCATGATCATCATGTCATTCAGCTAGCAGAACATTGATACTGTGGAGGTAATCTAGGCGAAGTAATAGATACTCAAACTAGATAATACAACATAAGAATACGACCCAATTAGACCGGCCACAAATACAATGCAATAGATCTGTTCCTTTTTGTTGTTACATCAACTAGAAAGAAAATCAGGTTGATTGAACACAAACATCAGAAGATTGGTAGGAAAGCATCAACTTAATGGTCTAATGTACATAGCACCAAACTGTTAGACAATGGATTTTACCGACTGTATATTTAGGCAGACTTCAACAGCGGTAACAACTTCGCGTTACGTAATAATAGTTATACATAATGCCCCCGAATGCCCTGGTACGACCGAGAGTGAGGAGAGTCCGCTCTCCCTCTCGAAATGCTCTCACATGGCCACGCGAATATAGCCACTGTCAGGGATGTCCTACTCACTGCCTTCTCGTGGCATTACTGTTGTTTACGAAAATGAGAGGACGAAAAGCGAATATCCAGCGCTTTAATCGGGTTGGTGGACACGGATAGTCCACCTAGAGGAGTTGGAAAACCCTGATTCCAAACCAATGATGCACATGGGCTCCGGGATCCTGAGGGAACAAATGGCGTATGAATCAATCGTTGGTCACTGGCTACCATAGAACTGCATCTCCTCACGATACTCCACTGCCTTGTGGATCAGACCTTTAGGTCAAAGGCTCCGGGTGTGGCTCCTTAAGGAAACCACCTACTTCAGTTTGGGCACCCAGGCAGTATCCCAGCCCTCACACAAATCAAATTAGATTTGTGCGGCGCATATATATCTGGTGCCCCTTTGTACCAATATTGTGTGTTTAAATAAATATAAGTAAAGTTATACATAATCAGCAATTTGAATTATATTCAGCTATTTATATCAATGAGTACTAGATTGATACCTTATCGTCAAGATATACACATGTACTTTAGTTTCAATATTTTAGTTTACCTACCACCTATCAACTGTATTTCTTACACTTTGCATTACTTTTCGGAACTTTTTTGTTGTGACAATGATTTTAACAGTCTAACTGTCTTCCAACCAACTGATGAGATTGAATCTTTATTTTGTTTTACGTAATAGTATCGTACTCTCAAATGAATCCAACTTTTCGGCTGTGGGATAGTTTTTCGTTGAGTTTGATATATCCACATAGATCTTACGCATACCTTATCGTGAAACATTCATTTAAAAATATAAGAATATATATAATCATTATATAATAATTAAAGTAAAATACTCACCAAGTGAACTCATTGTAGCATTATATACGCTTAATAACCATAAAACTGGAATATGTCTATAAACAACTTTCGGTGCAATAGAAGCTATCTCTAATAGAAACTTGAATAAATATTCTAAAATTAAAAGACAAAAGACAAATACAAACATAAATTCTGTGATATTTTGTTAGTTCATTTTTTTCTCTGAAAATAAATACATAGTGGACAAAAGTAGAAAAACATTATAAATAAAAAAGGATGGTGGACACCATCCATCTCTGCTTATATCGTTTGTGATTTAAGGCAATATTGAGGCAATCCACAAAGGATGTACATATTACCAGTAAGAGACTGATCAATTGCAGTCCTAAACATCAATCGGAAGATTCAAACAAACAATATAAAAATGAATTAAAGCAAAACAGTTATTCAATACGATTATTAGTTACCTTTTAATAAATATTCATCTAAAATAGTTGGAATCTTCGCATTCGTTGATTGTTGTTGCAATGTAACATTTGTGAATAGTACTGTTGTCAAATTAACATATTTTAAAAGTGATTTGAAAAATATTTTCGGTTTGTACGATACAATTAATGATGTATTATTATACAGAAAATGTATAAATTTCGACAAGTATTGATATACTACTGGATAATTTGAATAATATCTAAGAATGAATAAAAATAAAGAACAACTAATTACTCTCAATTACTTGACTGTAACGTTGATTATCATGAAAATATGCACGTACAGTAAACAAAAAAAAGTTGAAAAGCAGCATACTTATAGTAAAGTAATGTTTGCTGAAAATGGTTCCCGATCCCTTCAAAATAAAAATAAGCGAAACAAATCATTTACTGTTTTGTTAGTTTACTGCAGTAAACCCGCTATCACGTCCAAAATCCCAAGAATGCAAGGTCTTTTCTTTCTGCCGAGGTCAGAGAAACTAACCTCTTATTGATTGGTAGCTCTTTCAAAGACATTGTAAACACTTAAAACTTATTTATTTATTTTATAATTTAAACACAAATATTGGTACAAAAAGCACCAGATTTACATATTACCCATAACTATAATGTAAGTTTACCGATGATATGACATTAGTTATCCATTCATATAAATCGCATTCATTGTTGACATTTATGCGTAATGCAGGCCGCAGAAAGAATGTGTGTTGGTTTCATAGAAGTTACTTCAAACAATTCAGCGAGAGATGAAAAGCACAGTGATAATATAAAAATAAACGTAGGAGATATATCCAATTCGTAATAGTTTGGATTATCACGTTGTTGGTCTTGAGACTCGTATGTGATCAGTCTTATTTGAAATATATATGCATTCTATGCAGATTGTCCCAACGTAGCCATAAAGATACAAGCTTACATAAAATAGATGGAATATGGGCGGCAGTGGAATTCAGGACGAGCATTCCATCCTATTTGGGACTCCGGCTGGATATGCTTGCATCCCAGGAGTCGATCCAATTAAATTGAAATCCATACTTGTTGCACAAGTGAGTGGTTATTTGGACTCAGAAACTAAGTGCATATAGCGTTGGCGTTTGAAGTGAAAGGCAATGGACTTAAATCAACGAGTAAACCTTAAACCCGAGATCAAGGTACATCCACCTGGAGAGCCCTGAATAGGACGACATGCACATCCATACGTTTCGTTGGATTTTCAGGCAAACTTCAATAAATATTAACAATCACGGATTTTAAGCTCAGAACCTTTTACTGACTTTAATATTGATTTCTACTTAATAAGCTGTATTTGGGGGATCGATATCCTCCAAGTAAAATGTTCATACAACAACAATTCTGATCAGACTATCCTAAGAATCGATTGTAATTTAGAATACAGTTAAAATATACTTACTTGAAGCATGACTTAGTTATTCCTGGTAATTCATTGATAGTATCAATGACGTCCGCAGATAGATTATTACAATCTCCAGAAATAGATTTTTCAATATTTTTAAATACATTTCTTATATCTAAAATGAGAAATGTTAGTTTTACAGATAAGTGACAACTTTCTGGGAGATCATTTAGAGATTGTTCAATCGAGTTCACCATATCTTCTATTTTGATTGACTCTTCAAAAACCTCTAAAATATAACGAAAAAACTTTTTTCGGCAGTTTTCGAAGATATAAATATAAAGCGATGTAAAACAAATTTCGCAGGTTTAGTAATAAACTTCCTTGGTGAAATGAAAGTAAGCGAAATACATATATAATTAACATTATAACAATATAAACAAATGTATTGATAACAGGTTTTTATGTACGGTTACACCTAAAAGTATATCTTCAATTCATTGTCTGTGATCCGTGAAAAAGATTTTATACTTCAGTTCTCACTGTACGTATGAGTATGCGCTACAGAAATAACTCATTTCATACAGAGATGGATGAAGTGGATCACAGTTACTATAATGAGAACTGTACAAGAGATCAGTATTGTCATACAGGTAAGAGATAGAGGTGTACAAACGTACTAACTAGTGTATCAACAAGTCTCTGCGTTGGTCAGGTTAATCGAAAGCATCATCTAAGTAACAGAAAACATCATTTTGTTCAAACAACCTGAAAATAATTCAATAAAGCATTGATTCACACATAAACTATAGATGGAATTTCCAAAATTAAAAAACTGCATAAAAATAAAAGTACATTGTAAACGACGCCAGTTGTTTAAATACACGAAAATATGATCAGGCTGACCTAAGGACAAGTTTATTTATGACAATATTTACTGAGATAGGAATAAAAACTATTTCAAGTCTATAACCAAGTAATATACATAACGTTGAGCTATGAATTTACCTGGTTCACTTTGACTGGTAGAAGATACAACTTGATCTATCAACAAGTTAGTGTCGTTTAAATTCTTTTTAAATAGCTTTTGAAAGTGAATTAACCATTTGGAATCAGGTATACGCTACAAAATAGGAAGCGAAGGCAACAATAATATTATAAATTATTATACTTGATATCTGTTACCTAAGTGTCAATACTAGTAGCGAAAAATAATTAACTGTAAGATAAGTTATTAAAAGGAATGTTAAGCAGTCAAATAGTCCTAGATTTAGAAAACTAATTGTTTATCCAATAAGTCCCGTATTTAACTCTGAGATTGTATAGTCGGATTTTGATATTAAGAAATTAATTTCATAAAGTCAACTCAGTGTAATAGTCACTTAATTTCATAGGGATTGACCAGCAATCCATTAAAACTTTTATACTTGCATGCTGTAAGTTCGTGATTTTCATTAGTAGAAAGTATTTACATATAGATCTCTCAAAACATTTATGTTCTGATGATCACTCAACGAATGTATGTAAATGATGCAAAATATTTTCTAGGACCGATTAACTCCCAAAGACTATTAATTAGAATGGTAAAGTAAAGAGCTACGATATTCACTACAATTATACAATATTTGAAGTTATTGTACCATATACCAGTAGGTTTTTTTTTAATGGAGACGTAATTTAGTTCTTAAGCCATTTACTCCTTAACCTGCAGATTGCATGTTCAAACACCGTTTCACCCACTTTGTTTGAATACCTAAAAAGTACCACTAGCATAAATATAGCTACAATGTGGTTCAAAGCCGAACAAATTAAGATGTGATTAGTAAACGGGTTGTATCAAAATAATAATAATAATAATAATAATAACAATAATAATAACACATTATTAGGCAGAAGGCACACAGAAAATTATTTGGATAACAATGAATTGAATTATTATTATTATTATTATTATTATTATTATTATTATTATTATTATTAACTCTGAGCTCCCTTTATTGTTTTCCTGAAATTCGTCTTCGCATTAAATTACAATCATGATACAAAATACAAGAGAAAATCTACGTTGGAAATATCGACAAAGGACCATATAACATACAATTAATTATCTTTATATTTTTATGTGAATGGATAGATGAATGTTTGAAAAGTCGAATTTCCGTTATAGGACGAATAAGTAATTAATTTCAATTGATCTCAAGACTAACTTTGGTTGAAATAAATGCAGAAATCATAAAACTTGTAAAACGTTTCATCACAGCTTCTTTAGCAACAGTGATTTGCCACGAAAATACAAAAATAAGGGATTAACCTATCATATTTTTATTTTGTGGCTCGATATGAAATGAGCAAACAACAGACTTCAATCAAAAGTTTCATACAAATAATTAAAATCATCATTTTGATCGATTTGTTATCACTCTCCGAACTTACTTCACGAATAAACAATTCAATCTTCATTTTTAACTGGTCCGATGTAAAGTTCATTGCACTTGGTAGCTGGTTCAGTGAAAGCCATGTTAACGGGATTTTTAACAGTTGTTTCAAGTATCTCATAAGTTCAGTAGCCTTATTTTTAACATCGGATGATTTATCATACTAATGAATAAATAAATGGATAATTAACTGAAAATTTTGAACTTCAATATACAGTAGATATTAATTGAATGAAGTTAATACAAAATGAGAATAATTTAATGTCATGTTAGATAGTTGGCTGTGATAAGTCAGAGACCTAGGTTTTACGTCAACGTTTTTTGCTCATTCTTACCAACTATATAACATCAAATAGAATGCACTAAAATGTAGTCATTTAAACTAATGGTTGTACAGAAAATTGAATAATAGACCTTGAACGTTTATCAAGGTCAAGATAGGAATAATAACATGACACTGATCGATCTAGAAGATAAAAATTCGAATTTCTTATGCGTACCGATAAGTGCTATACATTCCCAAATATTGCCACTATTGATATAACGCAACTCTCGGTAAGCATCTAAGGAAAGCAAAGGCATTTTCGAAGTCGATATTCAATAATTTAACAACGTTGCATACAAAACTGATTGAAACAGGATTTTCATAGGATAATTTTTTATATTGTGCATAAATCCATCGACTGTGATGTTGAGATAAAATATGATTATTGATACAGCGAGCAGACGAATATTATTGCCAACCGTATGCTCAGAGGATCATTGATTACTATGCACAGGTATTTAATAAATCTACATTTGAACTCCTGAATCTCCCTAGTAATCAATTGCTACCATTTACCATCCACCTAGATTTTCTGTTACATTCGCACTATTTTCATGATTATCAACCACCATACTAATGAAAGATATAACCTGAAAATTATTCTACTCAAACTACTTATTTTAATTCAGAAAGTAGAAAATTAAATATTTCTAGCTTGTCTAAATTTACTACTTACTTATACAATGCTAGATAAAATCCCAAACTATCCATCTTTGACACCCAAATCATATTTAGAACCGGCCTTAATAAATCGATATAGCAAGAAATAAAAAACCAACCTGTAGAGCTATTCTGATAGGATCAATCATTTTTGGTGACAAGACACAAAACTTTGCTATGGAAACAGCTAATACTTCAATCGTCAGTGAATGAGTCAGTGCAGCTATGGTGAACTGAACGATATATCTGCTAATCGATTTGTAGATCTGAAAACAAATCATTTAAAGTAACAGTATTATTAAAAATGTTTTATTCTGAAAGACAAACAATCATTCGGAAGCTATGTTAAGTTCGTGAAGTAAAACAGTCACCTATTCAGGTTAAAACGCTTCCATTTGAAAAGTATCTACATTAAAACTGTCCCCGAATTCGTTTCACGATTTCATTTTTAGTCAACCAAATAAAGATCATACGTGCTATTCAATGTTATAAAATTTTAGAAATTACTTTCTGAGCTATACATTTTCAACATTTACACCGTTTTATATAACATCAGATCACTGCTAAACACAAATTGCATGACCTATACTTGTTTTCAGTAACAAAAGCTGAATACCAATGCTTTATTTAATGACTTGTAAGCCTAATCAATCCGTGAAGCTACCCATTTTGCTCTGTAATATTGATTTTCATCAAAAACTACTATTTTGTTCACGTAACAACCAGATTTAACAGTCATACGAAAGCACTTAATTTATTACCAAAGTGAATAACTTTGGCTTAACAAAGCAGAGAACTAGCTTCTACTATGAGTCTACAGCAGTACTCAACAGTTAACAACTAGTTCTTACAGAGTTGCAAACGATGCAAACAATGTATATTTCCGTGCCAACGATATCATAAGATTAGTATTACTTAAGGTAAAAGAAAGGCTACAAATAGAAGAGCAAAAGGACGTTGTCTCTGAGGTCAATTGTTATGATCGCAACCCAGTCTATATGGGAGAAATATCTAGAGAACTGAATGTTGGATTGAAAGAACAGTGTTCGAAGCATGTGCCCAAACCCACGATTGAACTCAAGAAACTTAAGAATAAATAAACAAGTGTTACATTCATCAATAATAGGACAAAAGATCAACTTTCCAGGGACCAAAATAATTTAGAAAGGGCTTGGTGTCCATAAGAAAAGACTGACAGCAGAAGTGCTGTATACATGGGCTGATCAGAAAAGTCTGAACAGGAAAGATGGAATTCAAATAGCCGCTCTTGACAAGTGTTTAGTAACAAGTAATTGAACCCTATTTTTATCACCTTGCTTAAATCATGTGTAGCTTTATTCCGACATAAAATTATCTAGATGTTTTAAAATCGGGACCATGTGTTTGAAGATTCCCATTTCGCAAGTGCATTGACATTTTTTTTAAAATTTCAGATTCAACTTTTATTTTTAACAAACGAAGTGATTAACATTCATTTACTAAATATCGACTATTAATAACATAAAGTTACATGTACACACAAATTTGTTCTCATTCACACTGTGAAATTTCCACATTATTTACATCTTATTTACTCATAATATCCTACTTAACAAAATCAACATCCGATATATTACTTGACAATTTTGATTACTACCCTGAAAAGGTCGGACAAGTTAGCTAGACGAAACACTAGAATTACTTAAATTTCAGTCGCTGACATTATTTAGAACATAATTTTCACAAGTAAATTGTACGTGCCATCAAGCTACATCATACGAAAAATATTTCTCTGATGATCATTTTCAGGCTAAAAACGAGATTTTTACTGTGGCTCTTTTATCTGATGATCTACAAACACTAAAAAGTGATCATTCCTCATTCAATAGTTGAAAATTTCTGCTATATATATTTACGTGATTGAATAATACAACTCACTAGCCCAGTACATATGTCATTGACCTGGCTATGACACACATTTTTATGTGATAATTAGTAATACCACTCGGCTACCTAAATCAAAGTACTTAGTGGGATTCAAAAATGCAACTTAACAAACAAGGACCTAGTGCTTCACTTGTTAGTCCGCCACCAGATACATACAGTTTCAATTCTTAGTGCATCAAATGAAGGGGTCGTATGTGAGGATTCAAATACCAATGAGATGACAAATGAGAAGTTTACCAAACGGACAAAAGCTATGAAAAAGTGATAACCTATTTCAGTTCCCATAATTTACGCTACTATAGAAACAGTCAAGTTCAGAAAACGAAAGCAAAAATGATGAACACAGCAATCCAGTAATAACAAATAATGAGGAAAATAAGCACAGGTGACCAGTTGCAACCACTTCTTCCAACTACTATTCCATCTTTGAGCATATATTGACCGGTCATATGCCACATATGACCAAACTACTTCAACCGATGAGGATTTTTAAACATAGTCGGGTAACTTACCAACTTAATCTAAACGTAAGTTTCGCCTTCACTTTGCTTGGGTGATGGCTTCAGTACAGCGAAATTATTTGAACATGTCTATCAAATAACGTTTGATAACTTTGAACAGTTAAATCCAAAGGCCTGAAAAACAAGGCTGATATATAGTAGACAGATTATCAGCCAACAAGGTATCATACTGGTCACAGGAGAGATAGTAATTATTTGCTTTGTGTCCTAGAGATAGTGCAGCACAGTGGCTAGAGACATCATCAAACAAGGTTCAGGATAGAGGCCGATGGCGATTCTGCTGTAACTTTCTTTTACTTTCTTAATAAAAGTGAACGTAACTTATTTAACTGAGATTCTTTCTGGTTGCATTTTTTTACTAAATGAACTGTTTCCCGCAATAATATTATTATTTATATATTTCACTCTCATACATTAATTCCTATTTGTTGTTCTCTTTATTATACATATTTTAAATCCTCTATCTTTTCATGAACCCAATATCATTGTGTGGCGAATATGTATTTGGTTCCCCCTTGTACCAATGTTTTTGTGTTCAGATAAATGTGAGATAAGTTGGTAGAACCCACTAGAGATCTCTATAATCCCGAAAGCAACTTATCATTACCATCACCACAGCCGTTTACGTGACTATGGCTGTGGAGTCATTAATGCTCCTAAACACTTTGCAACTTTTTTCGCAACGTCAACATAAATTTATTTTGTATTTGCGATGCTAAATACGCGTCAAATCATTGCATACATGATCAATTCCTGAGAAACCACACACTTGGCACCAGATCGTACAAACAGAATAAGAAAATTAATCAGAATGATAATATGATAGACTCACATGAAAAACAAATTCGATTAAACAGAACCAACTAGGTGAATCACGTGGATATAAACTAGGAGCCAAGTGATCGAGGTAATGTGGGAATAAATCTGGACATTTACATAGCGCTACGACAACTAGTTCCGTACGTAAGGGATCCGTATATGCATCTTCCATCTGAGAGGACGTCAGGCATTGTAGTATTAAACGATTGTACTGACTATAACAGAATGATTATGACAACAAAACACGCGGTGAATTAGATGTAAAGACATATATTTGCACAAGTACTTCATATTATAAACCAAACTTTTAAGTTCACGAAACGTTGTGAAAGAAACCCTGTCGAAAACAATAAAATGAAACTAAGTATGCAGAATCTCATGAATAAATGGATGAATCTGAAAACAAAGTCTTCTGATTTATAAGAAACATTCGGACGGTAAACTTACACGTTAACGTCAAACTTATTCGAAAACACCAGCCCACACCGACTAGATGTAAAGAGATGAGTGAGGAGCTTGTGTAAGGTGTCTCTAATCGACACCAGCTCATGTTCATTCACCTCAGCATTATCTTTTCTCAGTACTTCATCAACAGTCTTACCCTCCCCCCTCCACTGATACAGAGATGTTAACTTTTGAAGACAATGTCGATTGAATACACGTATCCGCTGTGTTTTGCTGACCGAACTGTTTTCAACTACCTGTTATGAGATGAAACTCAAACAATTAACTTACTTTCTTAAGGACGCATAAGATTAGAATTACGTTTGAATATTTGTCCACAAAAGACTCACCAATAAGTAGATCCAGAGCACCTAACCAGAGTAAAATATTTACAAGTGATTCTCACCTTTCTTGTCAATTAATTCTCTCAAAACAAAATTGTTGTCTAAATAAACAAAAGAAGCCAAGAAATTTATGAAGCACGTCCGGACGTCACACTTATCGACAAGATTTCTTCTCTGAGAACATTTCTTCATCGTCGCGCTATCAAAATCAATATATCGCAAGACGGCCCGAGCTAAATCTTCACTGACTGTCACGACAGATGCTAAAAGTTGGAGAGATGTTTTTAAGATTTCCGCATTCTGAGACTTTCTCATTGTATTGAGGCATAATGAGAAGCGAGAGTCTTCAAGGAATCCCTCGGCAAGCTCTCTAGCAACATTAGGAAAACGAGTGCTTAACTCGCGAGAAGTTTTCAAGATAATAATGTAGAGTGCTTTGAAGACTGCAAGAAGCTGAGAAATTATTCACTGTCTAGTCAATCTTACCTCTCCTGTCTTCCGATCTTGACCGGTATCCAGAAATTTGAGTATCTGAACAACATCTCCTCCAGCAACGACATTAACAACAAATTCATCTACATCCTCATCAGTTATAGACTCAACAAAATTCACCAAAACTAAACATAGGATTAAAGTAGATACATTGTTTACCTGAAATATCAGATCCAATAGACTTGAATCGATCACTCCTGTGGTTAGAATCCTGTTTCATGGGTCCATTGTCACTCAACTTAATACGCTTCGAGCGTTCCCGCATTTCCAGACTACGGGCTTATTATGACCGTGAACAAGTTAACGTCAACGCAAGGCTTTGAACTTTTCGCCAAATTAAATCCAGTTTTCTCAGATTTCCCTTTTCCTTATGGAAATGGTTTCGAATGTTTTCAGATGGTTCTGGACGAGTAAGAAGAAGCTTTCGCTTAACATGCTTCTCCATCTGGTAGCAGTGGATCACTAATGCCTCCAGGTAGGAAGCTGTAGCGGACACCCTGGATTCTGACTTTTGATTTCTCTAATTGGGTACAATTCATAGTAGAAAATGTTGCTGGTTAAAGCGTTGTCAAACTCCAAACACCTATGGCATCTTCAAAGCAACGTACAGTTAGCAATTCAGAATTATGTAGTAAGGACGTTAGGCCTCTGGTCTATGTTATCTCTTTACTAGTATGCTTCTGTGTCTGGTGAAATGTAGCGAGGGACTGTTCTTGGTAACCAATAATATGTCACGTTGCTTTCTTAAAGGACTCCTTGGAAGTCGCTTGGACTATCTCAGCCTGTGGCTAATTCCAACATTTGACTACTGTTAAGGAATATAAGGTGTGCATTCATTCCACTCTGTTGTGTTGCGTCTCCAGTTTCTGGGTGTCACCTCACCTAGGTATATTAACGATAATAGAGGAAAAAAGAAATTGGTAAATCATAATAATATGTCATCCTTAGTCCTTAAGAATAGGTCAAGTTTCCTATTAAAGGACTCCTTGGAAGTCGCTCGGACTAGCTCAGTCGGCAGCGAATTTCAGCATTTGACAACTCTTACGGAGTAGAAGCTGTGTCTACAATCTTTTCTGCTATGTTGGGCTTCCAGTTTCTGGGTGTTACCCCTTCGATTATTGTTGTGACTAAGCCTTAGTAGATGTTTGAGGGGATGACCAGAAGTGTTAAGGATACTGTAAGTCATAAGAAGGTCACCTCTAAGACACCTGTACTCTAACGGGTAAAGGTTAAGTGATTTGTGACGCTCTTCATAAGGTTTGAATTTAAGTCCTCGAACTGATTTCTTGGCTCGACGTTGGATACGCCCCAGATTGTCCTTATCCTTTTTGAGGGGGGAGGAAATACTATGTTTCCGTACTCTAAATGTGGACGAATAAAACTGTTGAAGATTATGTGGAAAGTTCTACCGTCACACTGGCCAGAAATGCGCTTCAATGTTACCAGTGCAAGGTTTGCTTGAAATGCGTTTTTGTCACAATTAGCGTACGATTTCAAGTCGTAGGGTACCAACACTTCTAAGTCTTTTTCGACTTGGGAAACTTCTAGTGAGGAGTTTCCTAAGTTGTAACTATAGTCTGCAACATGTCGCAGATAGACCACTTTGCACTTTGAAGTATTGAAGGTAAATCCGTTGTCATCTGACCAACTTTGAAGTCGAATCAAATCCTCCTGAAGTACCAGTATATCCTTTTGGTTGCGTATCTCTCTCCAATGTTCCACATCATCAGCAAAAATTAATAAGTCAGACGATACTTGTTGTGGAAGATCGTCTATATGAATCAAGAAGAGAAGTCCTAGTAATGAATCCTGGGGAACCCCGTTAGGACATTCCTTAGCCTGAGAGAAAGTGAAATTAACCCTGACCTTAAAATGTCGATTTTCTAGATATGAAGTGAGTCAGTCAATTAGAGGTGGTTTGAAATTCAATCTTTTAAGCTTATTGATAAGACATATATGGTTGACCCTATCAAAAGCTTTTGAGAAATCAGGGTAGTTGATGTCAATCATCCCCTTGCGGTCAAGGATGCTTGTCCATCTGTCCACCGCAGTAAGCAGGTTGGATATACAGGAGTGGTCCTTCATGGGACCATGCTGTTGGGGATAGGAACTCTGAGAATAATAAATAGTCGTGTATACCATCGCATATCAGTGACTCCATAATTTTAAAAAGTATGGAGAGAAGGGCCCCCGGTCGGTAGTTTGAGGCTTCACTGCGTCGACCTCCTTTGAAAATTGATGTGATGTGAGCCAGCTTCCAAATTTCCGGCAGTTTGCCTCTGCTTAGCGAGTGTAAAAACATCACGTTAAGTGGTGTTGCTAGGATTGAAGCTGCTTCGTCAGTACAGCAGAATGAACCGGGAGAAGTGTCTTTTCTTATGTGCTGCAGTTTACGGAGCACCAGGTCAGCACTCAGGTCCACTTCGGAAAGTCCTGTGCAAGTGCAGGTGAAGCTTTCATCAGTATAGTTGATGTGGGTCGGTTGAAATGTCCGAGAGTATTGTTCAGCCAAAAGATTGGCGGCATCACCGTCGTTATTGTTCAGACCATTAGAACCTAGCATTTGCGAAACTCCAGTTTTGCCTTGTCGAAGAGAAGCTGCATAACGGAATAAGCTTTTCGGATTGGAGACAAATTTATCGATAAGCTTGGTCTGGTACTGAAGCCTGTTATTGCCTTTGTGCATATATTCCTTATATGTTTGTATTGCCTGTACGCACCGTTGTTATCAGTTCGTTTATATTCGGCCCAGCAGTGCTTTTTGCGGCTTAGCAAACGGAGAGTGCGGTTCTTGATGATTTTAGGTTGTTTGTAGCTTTTTAGGACTGTTTGAGGAACTGAATGCTTGGTTGTAAATAAGAGCGTGTGCAGTAAGAAATCCCAATGAGCATCCGCTTCAAGTTGAGGGTGAACATCCCAATCCACCTGTTATAAATAGTCATGTAAAGCTAACACATTCAACCGTTTGAAATTCCAGCGTCTGTTGTTGGTGGGATATCTTGGCTCAGTTATGCTGACCAAACTGAATAGGACAAGACGGTGTGATCACTTTTCCCCAGCGAAGCCAGAATTGAGAGGTCGTCAACTAGGAATTCTTCATTTGTGAATACCCAGTCTTAGCTCGAACGCGTTTGACTGTTTCTCCAACGAGTTTCTGACTTCACATTTTCGAATAATCCCAGATCATCAATGAGGTTGAATAACCGAGCCCCGATGGAGTTGTCACCTCCAGTGTAGGTATGATCTGTGAAGTTGATTCTAGGAAGATCGAAATCCCCCAGAATCAGTATATGAGAGAATCTAAGACGCGTAGAGCGGGTTAATCCTTCCAGCAAACGATTATCGTACTCGATGTCAGCAGTGGGCTTCTTGCAGATGACACCAACTAGACACCTTGAGGTAGTAGACATTATTACTGAGCACCGTACTGATTCATCAAGATTGAGAAACTCTTGGCAGTGAATTCGGTGCGCCTCCAGGCATGATGGTTGTGAAACAAAGACATTCCAGGTACTGCTGGTCCGAAAACTGAGACGATATCCAAGTTTCGGATAATCCTATCAGATGAGCATCATTAGCGTTGCTAAGTTCAAGTAGCTGATCCATTTCGTTTGGCAAACTCGTGACGTTCATGTATAAGCAGTTTATGCTTCCAATTTCGAAGGCATGTGCTTCTTCCTGTGTGTCTATATGAGCCTTAAGTGAGTGGACAGATAGCCTACTGAGGTAAGATGGTGGTTGGAGGTGGTCAACAGGAAACCCTGGACCCGGGTTTCGTGCTACTTGGCACTCGTCAGCAAGGTGTACCTGTAATCCTGAGGGAACTGATGCTCCCTGGCGGATTCGATCCCGCGTCACTCAGCTTCACAGTCAGAGACGTTACCACTGAGCTATTCGGGCCGCGACCAACCTCCTGTAGGACTGAGATGTAATCACAATTGATTGATCACCGGGTTTCGTGCTACTTGGCACTCGTTTCCTGTTGACCACCTCCAACCACCATCTTACCTCAATATACATAGTGCAAGCAGTGTCGAGCCACCTAGACTGGTGGTCACATTGCAACTCGATCGATAGCATTCGATCAGCACTAAGAAGGACCTGACACGCACGAGATTGATCACCACCCAGTGATCAATCAATTGTGACAGATGGCCTACCTATACAATGTTTACAGAGCTGGTAGCCTCTGTCCTTTACACGTTTTTTTATGATCAAGACAGTCCACAAGTGAAATTGTCAGCTTTAGCTTGCGTTTGTGCTTGATCCTGCTGTCGTGTGGCCTATCCGGATGCATATGGATGCCAGTTGGCAACCGTCGTCTATTGGCACGAAATGCTTCCAGAGTTGCAGCCGCCATATGGGAAGAGGGGAAGGTTATCTTCATTAGCCGGGGTCTAAAGTCTCCGTCTTTCTTGGCTAGTCACGTCACCTGTTCGGTCAATATGTTTTTGAGTTTTAGAGAATGCTTAATAAATTTCCATTCTCAAAAATCAGAGTTTGCTTGAGCTGGGTCCATATTTTCCGTTACACCTTGCACAATGATATTTCGTCCACGGAAAAACGCCTCGCGAGATTCTATAGTGATGTTTCGGATGAGATTTCGCTCAGAATACGGTATGCTGGGCAGTATTTTTACGTTCTCATCGGATTTCAGTAAGTGAATCGCTAGCAGGACGTCATCTACGTCGGAAGCATTCTTATGTGTTACACGAAGTAGCCTCGGTTGGTTTTGGTGGTTAGAGTACTTCCCCGAGTTAGCCGTATAACCGTCAAAGGGGAGTTCCAGCTTCTTCAATTCTCCCCAGAGAATCCTATCATTTTCGCCCTGCAAACTGAGAGGAAGGTCAGGGCTATCATTAAGGTTCATAATTATGACAGAGTCGTCACGAACCGTTATTGATTTTCCGGGTTTTCCAGTGCGTCCAGGTCCGGCACCTTGTTGTTTGGAGGTGGAAGCGCGTTTCCGATTCCTAGGCTCATTAATGACCGGGAGGACAGACTTGAGGATAAACTGTGCGGCCAAGTCACCAATTGATTTCTGCACAATACTTGGGATGTTCAGCTTAGCCGGTGTTCTTCATAGGGCTTGATTTAGAGTTCGAGGATTGATTTCGTGACTCGCCATTCGACACGCACTAATGTATTTGTATTCTTTTGCAGTGAGAGAGGAAACACCAACTTTCCATTCTCTAGATTAGGCTGAATAAAATTGATGAAGATTGAGTGGAAATTTCTACAGTCAAACTGGCCGAAAATGTTACAAATTGATGTCTGTGCGCAGAGTTCTCTCGAAAAGCATTTTCATCTCAGCGTAAGATTCTAGATCACAGGGTACCAAGACTTGCAGATCTTTCTCTACTTAGGCTACCTCATTATTGTTGTTGCATAAGTTGTTTGCATAGCCTCCAATACGTCTCAGATAGGCCGTTTCACACTTTGAAATGCTGAAAGAAAGTCCGTTGTTATTCACCAAACTTTGGGGTCGAGTGCA